CTTCTGCTGCAGGTCGGCTAGTCAACAGCCTCTATTTCCATACTAAAAACAATTTGGCAGCACTCAAACCATGTCCGGTAACCCGACTCTCGATGCAGCCAGCCATTCTAATAAACTTCCAGCAAATCTTTTACACATCCAGCTGACTCTTTGGAATACCATGCGGAATTTGGGGGTTCTTCTTATGAACTATTTCCATCCTCAAACGGCCTAGTTGAGGCAAGGGAAGCTGCAATGAATCCACCTCCCCTACGCATATTGTTTTAAAAGCATAACATATATTTTTCAACGCTCTGAGACTGAGCATACAAGGCTCAAGGTAATCCTAAATGTCTATTACTCTTATAGAGTAACTCAGAAGACACTTGGACAGATCTTGCCTTTCAAGAGCTAGACAAATTGTTTGCGGAGAGCATTAGAGCAACTCTGTTCTTGGACGAAGGTTAGGAAATCAGGTTGAGCTAGTCGTTTTCGAAACGGAAGGGCGAACCAATGTGCACAGAGGCGGGCGCGCGCGGGGCGCGCGGCTACACACTCGAGTCATTGTCCCGGATACGGTGGGCCCGGCACATGTTCCCGGTCGCAGGTCAGAGGTCAAGCTCCAGGGGTGTTTCCAAAGCCGGCCACTTCAAGGACTCAAGCCTTCAACACTTATCCAAACTGATTAACTACATGATCAACAGTAGCCGAGGAAATGCAACGGGCTTCACCGGTCTCGCCACTGCGAGAAATAGCCAGACCAGGATAGTGTGTGTGTGTGTGTGTGTGTGTGTGTGTGTGTGAGAGAGAGAGAGAGAGAGAGAGAGAGAGAGAGAGAGAGAGAGAGAGAATGGCGGGGGAGATGTGACTTTCGTGGAAATCCTTCTCGATTCCCTTTAAGACTTGGATAGCCTAAAGCTCTGTCGCCATCCTCCTTCTGATCCAGATTTTACAGATATTCTCTTTAAAGAATAAAATAAAAATGCAGCAAAATAAATCAGCGAAAGGGTTTGGTGGTGGTTGTTTTTTTTTTAAAAAAACACACACAACACCATGCAGATTGGTAGACATTTTTGCACGAATAAAAAAAGAAACAAGGAGTTAAATGATGGTGGAGTGGGGTGTTTGTGTGTAAGGGAGGTGGGAGTGTCACCCGATTACGGAGAGCTCCTGATCGAGATGGGAATGGAAGGTCCATTGTGAAAAGCTTACGAAGTCTTGGCTACTAGACCTTTAGCCACAGACATGGTTAACTCCTTCCTAACTGCGCAGGAGAGAGTGCCTGAAACAGAGAAACTGGTGCCGAGTTCTCAAGGGGGAGCAAGACCTGGGCTGACCAGTCCCCGCCTCTCGGTTCCCCCCTGCACCTCGAGCCCAAAGCAGCGACTCATCTTCCACGGTTGGGAGGCTGGAGCAGAGGTGGACCGAGATAACCGCACTTCTCTAACGCTCGGCACCCTAGGGCATTGTCTGCTTAGGGTACACGCTCTGATGTTCTCCGCCTCCTGTTCCCTCTCTTCCGAGGCAACCGCATCTCTTTCGCTGCCCTATCTTTTCTCCGTCTGCCCTCCTGTAGTGGGCGTTCAGATATAGGGCGCTTGTCCCAGCGGCACCATGGGAAGCACCTTGATCACAAACGCCCCGATCCACTTGGCGGTGTGGACCTTCGGGTCGGGGAAGGGAAAGCCCTGCCCGCCTTTGGCGGTGGGGCCAGGTGCAGCTTTACCTCCCAGCAGTCTCCCGTGGAGGAAAGTCTCTGCCCACGTGCCTGAAAAGGTGCCAAACCACATCCGCAGAGTGTGTGCGAAGGGGGGGGGGCTCCTAAGGTTCATTCATGCACATAACAAGCCTCCTGAAGGTGAAAGGTTGCTCCAGCGCTTGGCCTGACTGTGGCAGAAGGGAAGCCGCATTTCCTAGCCCGCCCCGCGTCTCCCACCCCTTGATCACCACTTCAGTCACTTACCCCTCTCCACCTGTTGAAGCAGAGATCCCCTCATTTCTGCCTAGCATGTCAGAACTGGCCCAAAAAAAGAAGAAAGTCGAAAGACAGAGGGAGACGAGAGGAGAGGCTGGGGGGTGGGTGGGATAGAGGGGGTAGGGTGGGCAGCGGTTGGATCAAACAAAACCAAAACACCTCTTGGGCGACTTCATCGAGGCGGTCATCCTTCATTTCTTCTTTTCTTGCTTTCTGGGAGCAGCTGGGGATTGTATGGAGAGGCAGAAATGAACCTTCAGGATGATATTTTAATGGCTTATATGTCACGTTGGTGCATGTGGCTTTGAACTGGAGCAGCTTTCGTTTCCTGCAGAGAGCATGCCGCAAATCCCACTTGATAACTTCTGCAGCCCACAACACTTGCACACAGAGCGCGCGCAGACACACACACACACACACACACACACACACACACACACACAAATGGACTTTATATCTGAACATGTTCTCAACAGCAAACAAACAAACAAACTTTGGACTGTACCCTTCCACGGCTGTTGACTCTTGAGATGGGGTTAAGTGTTGCTCTGCATTTTGGAGAGGCGAATCTATTCCCTTTTGCTAACTTCAAGTATGTGTAGATTATTCTCTCTGGGACCAAACGTTCCTGAGATTCTTGCCCGTCGCTCTGGGATTAGGCATACTAGAGCGAGAGGGCGAAAGAGCAAGATCTCATTACATATACCAAGTCTAACACATGAAAACTCTTTATATTCCTTATCAAGGGAAGATGCTTCAGACCTGTTGCTTTAGGACCTTAGATGTGTGCTTGTGTGTATGTGTGTATGTGTTTGTATGCGTCTGTGTAAACACACACACACACACAAACAAACAAAAAAACATTGTGTGTGTGCGTGCGTGCGTTTGTGTGTGCAAGCCTTCTCTCATGCAAGCAGTATTACCTCCGCTATCGGCCAGAAACTATGAAGCCGTGCTAATAGAACTGCCCGGAATATCCTCCTTTATGCATTGAACCTACTCGGAAATCTGATATATATAGTATTACACTGCCGAATGGCAGTAAAAAGGTTGTTTTTGTTTTACTTAAACCAAACAGTGTGCCCCTCCCACATTTCACTGAAATATACAGCTCTGAAATAGGAAATATTTTTCGTGCACTTTTATCTGCCAGGGGAATTGATTCCTAACTCCTTTAACAGAAAACAGGATAAATCAGGTTAGGGGAAAGTCATAGCGAAGTCACATAAAGGCTGGACAAAGGTTCAAAACCCGAAGGGTTTTGATTTCTAGTTAACATTTATTAACATCCCTCTCCGTCTCCGTCTAACACACAGGCTCACATTTTCTGTATTGGGGTTGGGGATGGTCCAGGTTAAAATATTATTATGATGGCTTTTTTAAAAAAACAAAACTAAAAACACTGTTCTCAGCAAAACGTCACCCTTTCTCAAAACTACACGGGCATCACAGGGAATAACATACCCAAGTTGCTTTGCTTAATTGATTGAGTCACAATGATTGTCTCTTTTTAAGTAACCATACTTCTACATCTCGACAATCATTTTAATATATAGTCAATGGGTCTTTGTAACAGGAACAAAGAAGAACTATCCGTAGTTTTTCAATAGACTTGAGTTGGGTAAAGGCAGGTTAATCGAGGGGTTGCATCTAGAAAACAAGCAAGTGTTGTATGTTTGCACTGAATCCAAATGTCTGCATTTTCCTAACTAAATCAAAGGGAGTGTTATTTCTTTTTCTGCTCACTCATCTGAAGGTAAGTAAATTTTCTCTGGCGATCACAAGCTTGGTCAGCAACAAAGGCGCCGCCTGCTTTTTCCACCGTCCTGGTGTGGCAAGTTGAGGAATTTCAATAAATGTGACAAGGGTGACTGATTTGTGAACTAGAAAAGGTTTGAGCGTCAGAGAATTTATATTGCTCCTATCTAGTGAGGATTTCAAATACATTATAAAACCCCAGGATCCAAAAGCTCTATGCAGCACAGAAGAGACAAAAGCAACTTTGGGAGGGGGGGAAATACAGTCTTTTTTTTTTTTTACCTGAATGAAAGAGGTCGCGTAAAAAAGAAAGAAAGAAAAACAAGAAACAAAGTGCAAGGAGATACAATAACAACACAACACTACACACACACACACACACACACAACACACAAACACACAGGCAGAAAGTTAAGCGCTCTCACCCACCTGCCTTTTGATGGGTGCTAAAAAATAATTCAGAAAAAAACAAAGTGATGGAACGTGACAGCCGTTTCCCCACAGAAATCACGCCTGCTGTTTTAAAGCAAAATCTAATGTAACCAACACATGCGTTTTGGAGAGCATCTGAAAGAAAACAAGGAGGAAGCCCAAATGGAAAAGGAGCAAGTCACAAAAGGACTTCCCTGGGCAACTCCTTAAAAAGTTGTGTTGTTCAAAGATCTCGATCTCCAGGAACCAAGCATCACCATCACAAGAAAGAAGGAAAAGATAGGCACAGGAATAACATCTACATCTTTCTCTATCTCCATAAAACAGTTATAGAAAAGAGAGCTTTGGAATATTGCCGAGCCGAAATATATATCTATATCTATATATTATATATGTTTATGTATATAAAAAGTTGCTACTCCTGTACAAGCCTGTTTGTCAAAAGCGATGTCAATGCGCTTCACAATACCTGGGATTGATGAGCTGAGCTGGCCAATCAGGAGAGAAGAAAGGTTTTGCGCACCCTTAGTTGGAGAGGAAGGAGGGAGTTGCAAGCGAAAGTGGGAACCGCCAGGCACCAATGATCAGCGACGTCGGTCTTTACGTAGCTCCTCCTCCTTCTCCCATTCATCAAGGGGGGGACGGTGTCGTCTTTTCAATTCATTTATCTGCAGGAATGATTGCCGCTATCAGTCTCGCGTTCACCGCCCGGCTGAGGAGGTGAAAGTTTCTCCCCAGGAAGATAAACCGCAAAAGACAATATTGTGCATGATTTGCGCCGTTTTTTTTTTTTTAACAAAGCAGGGGGAAAAAAGGAAAGTGAAGGGGGAAAAAAGCCCAAGGAGGGGGAAAAGAGACGGAAGGGGGAAAAGAGTGCAAGAACTGGAAGAGAAGAGAAAATTGCTCGCTAGTCCGCTACATTCCTCTAGCCTCTTTTTTTAAATTAAAAAAAAAAACCAGAACTGAAGGAAGTTTAATTTTTGTTTTGCTCCCCCCTCCCCCGTCTGAGCCTGTTTCCTCCTCTCTCTTCACCATTGTTATTCGCGAGCGGAGCCTTCTGAATCCTTTCCCTCTTTCCCATTGAACCCCCCCTGAAAAAGTGCAGTCCGAGAGGCAAGAGAGGGGGCGATCGGTTTTTCTGCGCGCGCGCCGATGTCTTTTTTATTCTTATTCTCCAATTTTTGCAGCTTCTAGATTTCTTCCGCGGGCTCTGCCCACCCCTAAGCCCTCACCCACCCTCTCGTTTTGTGTGCGTGCGTGTGTGTGTTTTGGGTGCGCGGATGCCGAAGGGGGAGTTCCTGATGTGGTCGCTTTAGTGGTGAACGTCGCGCGGACTTTTGCAAGAGAAAGAGAGAGAGAGGCTGCTTGGATTGGCGGCGGCGGCGACGGCGGCTCTCTTCCTCGTCGGCTGATCCGGCAGTTTGTTGGCTGCTGCTGCTGTTGTTGCTGCTGCTGCTTACCCCCACTTCTTCCACGTCCTTTCCCCCCCTTTCCTCCTTAATTTATATTTTCTTAAATCTTATCTCATTTTTGCATCACTTTTCCTCGGCGGTTGCTGGCGCAGCTGCCTGAGAGCCGGGAGAAGATGTTGCTGGATGCCGGACCGCAGTACCCCGCCATCGGAGTGACGACCTTCGGCTCCTCTCGCCACCACGCCACGGGCGACGTGACGGAGCGCGAGGTGGGACTGGGCATCAACCCTTTCGCCGACGCCGGGATGGGCGCCTTCAAGCTCAACCCCAGCAGCCACGAGCTGGCCTCGGCCGGCCAGACCGCCTTCACTTCGCAGGCCCCTGGCTACGCGGCCGCAGCGGCGCTGGGGCATCACCACCACCACCCGGGCCACGTCGGCTCCTACTCCAGCGCGGCCGCCTTCAACTCCACGCGGGACTTTCTCTTCCGCAACCGGGGCTTCGGCGAGGCGGCGGCGGCGGCCAGCGCCCAGCACAGCCTCTTCGCCTCGGCGGCCGGCAGCTTCGGCGGACCGCACGGGCACGGCGAGGCGGCGGGCCACCTCCTCTTCCCGGGCCTCCACGAGCAAGCCACCGGCCACGCGTCGCCCAACGTGGTCAACGGGCAGATGCGCCTGGGCTTCTCCGGAGACATGTACGGCCGGCCGGAGCAGTACGGCCAGGTGACGAGCCCGCGCTCCGAACATTACGCTTCGCCGCAGCTGCACGGCTACGGCCACATGAATATGAACATGGCAGCCCACCACGGGCCGGGGGCCTTCTTCCGCTACATGCGCCAGCCCATCAAGCAAGAGCTCATCTGCAAGTGGATCGAGCCCGAGCAGTTGGCCAACCCCAAAAAGTCCTGCAACAAAACTTTCAGCACCATGCACGAGCTGGTGACTCACGTCACCGTGGAGCACGTCGGCGGGCCCGAGCAGTCCAACCACATTTGCTTCTGGGAAGAGTGTCCCAGGGAAGGGAAGCCTTTCAAGGCCAAATACAAACTGGTCAACCACATCCGAGTCCACACGGGGGAGAAACCTTTCCCGTGCCCTTTCCCGGGATGCGGGAAAGTCTTCGCTCGCTCGGAAAATCTCAAGATCCACAAAAGGACGCACACAGGTACGTTCCCAAACCCTACCGACCGGGCCGAGCCGCCCGTTGCCTGTTGAAGCGAACTCTCGCGCTTTCCAAGAAGGAGGCAGCTCAAAACAAATCAAAGGGGGGAGGGGGAGGGAGGGGGATTAGGGAAGAAATATAGGGGTGGGGGCTCCTTTCTTAAACAAATCCACATCAAGAGCCGGATTCAGTTCAGCTGGTGAATTAATTGGCACTATAAACCAAACATTGCTTTTCTTTTTATTTATTTTTTAAGTGGGAAAAATCAAATGTAAGGTAGGGCTCTATAAATGTTTCAGAAAAAAAGGGGAGATTAGGGTCTGGGGTGGAGGGGAAAAGATGGCAGCGATCTGAATTGTTAAAATTTATTGGTTTTAATTAATTGGTAGTCGAGGGCACTGACTGTCTTACAGTGAGAAATCTTGCTAAATATATGGCTACCTAACCTCAGCTTTCCTTGCTATCTATTTCTCACCCTCTGTAAATATTTAATTATGTGGGGCTATTGTAAGTAATCTGAGCTGTACGAGTTTATGTATTATTACAAGGAAACGTGGGGGTTGGGAGCGCTGAAATCACTCGCAAATCACCAGCTCCTTGTTCTAATTTTTCTGGTGTTGTCTTTTCCTTCTCCCTCTCCTTTTGGAAAAAGAAAACCCACAACCTGTCGTGTGTTTATCTATTTTTTTTTTAAAAAAAAATAGATCTAAAGCTGGCGCTATTGTGATTTGAACAGTTTAATCAGAAGTGTGCAACGCACAGCAAGTTTAATAACTAATACTACTGTGCAGCCGTGGAAGGTTATGTGTACACTACCTAATAAATAAGGAAAGGAAGGGAAGGTAAACAAACGCCAAATTTAGCCATAAAAGTGGCAACAAACCTTCCCCTCCTTCCAAAACTGTGTGCAAATGTACTCCTTTGCCAGGCGTTCATTTTCTGGTGAGATGCCACAGTTCGCTGTTTAAAAGAAAGATCAGAAAAAAGGGGACAGAAAACAGGCTTTGATTTAATTTACTCTTGTGCAGTAAAGTGGGGGGTTAGAATTGGCTGTAGGTGTTGCTCCATACTATAAAAATCTAGGTGCCAGATTTCCAATTAGGTCGACTTTGTTTGTTTTTGTAATAGGTGAAAAACCCTTTAAGTGTGAATTCGAGGGCTGTGACAGGCGCTTCGCCAACAGCAGCGATCGCAAAAAGCATATGCACGTCCACACTTCAGACAAACCTTATCTCTGCAAAATGTGCGATAAGTCCTACACGCACCCGAGCTCCCTCCGAAAACACATGAAGGTAAATGCTAGAGGCAGTTTCTCTCTCTCCCCCCCCCTAAGCTTCTCTTTTCATTGGGATCTGTTTGGGCCGGGTGGCCTTCGCCTCTCTCCTTCCACCATCGACTTTGCACACCGCTATTTACTGGGGGAGGGGGAGGGGGGAGGGAAATAAACATTTATTCCTTATAAACAGTAGTTTATACAGTAGTGACGCGACGTTCCTGACAGGAAACTGGGAAACTAGCCCGTATTGTTCTGTCACTCTGGAAAGGTTTATTAAAGGAGAAGTGATTACGTTACTTAAAGGCGTGGAAAGTCTTCGTTTCTGGAGACCCGGGATTCCAGTTCTTTACGCTGTAAATTGTCTCACAATGGATCCCGGTTTGGGCTAGCCTGGGGTTGTGCATTGCTTCAGGGGGAGAATTTAAAGAAAAAGACTCGATGGGGAGTCTGAAGGGACACAGGCAGGCATAGAAACTCTGGGTTTCTTGTTCAAGCCTCCGCTAGGATATCGTTCTTCTTTTGTGTATCCCAGGGCCGTATTTATCTTGCATGGCAGTTCCCTGAAATTAGCTGAGAACAGGCGATCTCGGTGTATAGTTAAGTTAAGAGCTCGGCGTTTCTATGAGATCAGCCAACATCCTGATTAGCGAAGCAGTATTTCAAACTTCACGCTTCCCCCGCGCCGCCACCCTCCTCCCACCGTGGCATTTAGAGTTCAATCTGTGAGCTCAGCTCCGTGATTTAGCATGTTGGGCAAGTAAATGGGCCAGATGCATACGTGCACATTGTTTGCATGGGTATAACAATATTTATATATTTATCTAGCCAGGGGTGTGTGTGTGTGTGTGTGTGTGTGTGCACACCCAGCGATACACGTATATCTATCTATGTGTGAATCCACACACACTTCAAGCATTTCCCTTTGTTATTCATTTCTGTTTTCTAGGTCCACGAATCGTCCTCCCAGGGGTCCCAGCCTTCTCCCGCTGCCAGTTCAGGCTATGAATCTTCAACCCCCCCAACAATCGTTTCTCCATCCACAGAAAACCAGACCACAAGCTCCTTATCCCCTTCATCTTCAGCAGTCCACCACACGTCCAGCCACAGCACGCTCACGTCAAATTTTAACGAATGGTACGTTTAAACAAACGAACAAACAAATGCAAATCCAACCTATTTAAAAGACTCCAAAAATTAATGAACACTTTGAAAATCGATCTTTTTGTGTGTTTTGATTTTTTTTTAATGCTGCCCATAGACCCAGGACCGAATCAAATCAAGAATTCTCTCTCTCTCTTTCTCTCTCTCTCTCTTTCTATCTATCTCCCTCTCTTCTTCAATTTCTGTTGTTTTGTTTTGGTTTTGTCGTGTTTGGGGCAAAGGCTTGGAAAGCAAATGGTTTTTTTCTAGAGTGCGTGAGAAGAGCAGGGTTATTGGGCCATCTTGCCGATGTGCAGGGCTTTTTAATGGAACCACTGACTGGAGTTCTTCAACTGCATGTCTCTTTGGGCAGCGCCTTGTTTTCTGTAAATACAGAAATACTAGCTTACAATGTACTGTTTGATTTTGTAAATAGTTATACCACAAGTTGAATAAGGGGATACGTGGAATTGTGGTCTTTGCATATATATGTGGGGGGAGGGGAATAGGGGAGGGGGATAGGGGAGGAGGTTGAAAAGTGGGGGGGAAGGAGGGAGGAGGTAGCAAATCATCTATTTGTACTGAATGGCAAGGATGTTCTAGTAAATGTGTACCAAAATGTGAATTACTTTGTATTATTACAGTCTAAACGTCGACCTAACAGAATATTATTGGTATTAATGTGCTTTTTCTTTTGTATAAAGTGCAAACATTTCGTCCCAAAGTCCAGTCTAAGTAGTGCAGTAAAATGTTGTTACACGTCCTGTCAAGAAATTCGTATAGTGCAAGCCTGGATCTGCGTGTCAAACTGTTACATTTGTTTATGTAAAGTGGTATTAAAAAAAAAAGCTATAAACTATAACCTGTCCATTGCTTTTGGCAAATACAACCACATACTGTATATACTTCCTAATTTCCATATTTATCCGCATGTAAAGGTCCGGTTATACATGTTACAGATATTCAATATTTATGGCTAGAAGAATTGGTATGTACAATTTAGTTTACAGAACTGTTTGGTAACATTTCGTACCTTATTAAAGATTCTGAAATCCCATAATCCGTGGTAGGAATCCTTATTGACTAAGCCTGCTGCTCTGCTGCAACTTAGCTAGTTTTCAGGACAGTAAACTACAGACTGGACCAAGAATCCTGCCCCATGACTTCCACTCCTTATCCTACTGTACTACCATTATGTCATCACTAGACCAGCAACTTTGATATTAATGTGATAAATTGATGTGCCCTTGCTGGCATTTAGGCTAGGGTGTAATTAGTATTTATATAAAACCCTATGAAACAAAAGTTTTGGGCTGCAATATAATTTAAATGACCATTGCTGACTCCTAATAATAACGATAACAACAACTACAGCAGAGTAGCGATAGATTGCATACGACCATGCAAATCTTGTGGGGGGGGGGAGGAAAGGATGAGGTGTTGCCACAATATCATAAAATGGATTTGCTCTTTGCTACAATCAGTAATTGCGAAAATAATTCATATGTTTAAATTTGAGAAGCTTTTAGGTATTATTTAATCTGAGTCATTTGAAATCACAAGCAAAGTCTTTTTTTATTCTTGCAAGGCCTTCTGCGATCCTCACCTCTTCCCCCCAAAGCCACACCATTATATTATATTCCTCTGTTTAGATGCTGTTTGCACTTAGTATATTTTTTTTACTATGATTTTGCCAGAGTTGTTCCTTACAACAGCAGCAAAATAAAACAAACCCAGAGAGGTGGGAGGGAGTTTATGTAGTTTGATTATCTCTTTTATTTCCCCCCATTTACTTAAGAAATTCGTTCCATTGGCTGGCGGTGATACAGTAAATTTGTAAATGAGAAGACAATATATATTAAAAAAATCTAAATTACTTGTGCTTAATGACTGTGGCAGAACGCCTTTTTCTCTAAATCAGATTGTCTTTCTTGCAGTTTAGTTTGATAGATTTGCAAGCTGTGGTGCTTCCGTTAACTTAGCGACGCTTGTAGGAACTGCTAGGCTTTGTTCCTTGGTGTAGGTTGCATGATCGCCCCATTAAGCAGACAACATATCAACAGACAACACAGATCATGAGCTCTCTGTGTTTGGGATATTATGTCACAAAGTGAATTGCACCTGCTGACCTCTCTTGTAGGCCAAGATGGCATTTTAACAGCTTCTTTTAAAATATAGATATTTAGAAGTTCAGCGAGTCAGCCGCAGCATCAACGGCGATGAGGATTTGGGGATAGTGAAGCTCGTTTGGATCCCCAAGTTATCTCAGTTCTTAATACGCATGTCTACTAGCTACTCACAGTATATATTGACCTGGTATATATTTATTATTTTGTGCAGGATTTTTGTAAACAGAGTCATGGGGGAAGGAGAAGCTTGTGTTTTGGTGTTTTGCTGGAATGTTTTACTTAAATCTACATAGGCCTCTCTGGACCCTTAGGAAGTAGGATCTGGGCCGCGGAGATGTGCTGCGATGTCTTATAGATCTTTTCAGTCGGAAAGAAACAGTTAAGAAATGGTAGAGCCTGTTTTGTGTTGTTTTTTTTAAACTTCACTTCCTAGAAAATGTTATTCTAATGAGAAGCTCATTTATCAGCTCTTCCAGTGCAAAGAGCGCCACCTTGCAGGGCCTACAGATACTGAAAGAAGTTCGAGAGAACCATAGAGGCTGAGCCACAACCCGGAGGAACTGCGGCCGAAAGACACGCTGGGTATTCATTTAACCCTAAAGAAATGCAATGATAAAGTTTAGTCGTCTCCAGACCGTTAGCCTTAGCGGGAACGTAGCAGTTTCAGCGATTTAGTATGCGAGCCTAAATGGAAAAGGAAAGAAGATATAGGGCAATACACAATATTATCTCCCTTACCCGCCCACCCCCAGCATGATTGAAAGGAATCATCGTTTCATTTTTACAAAATCTAGAAGAATCTTAAAAGATAAATGCTATAGCTTCTTTGGGTGTAGATTTTTTATTATTATTCACCAGTGGTAGTTTGTTTTAGAAATATGTTTTATCTGAATGGATTGCCTGGCTACCAATACCGAGTATTCTGTCATTTTCAAATCAGACGATTTTGAACATCACTAAAACTAAGTTCTATCTATGTTTGAAGTTGTATTGTAACCCACCCCCCGCCCAAAAAACCCCACAGTATCCCCACGACCTATAAAACAACAGGCTTCTCGGAATAACCAGTCAGCCACACATATTTGGTTACACAACTCAGCGATGGGCGCTAGAATGTTTTAAAAGTTTAATACATTTAATTACAATATTGCATCTGTCTGGTTTTGAACAGATAAATAGACACGCACTATTTATATGTATGTGTGTGTTTATACACACACGCTCGCACACTCTCTCTCACACATATATGGAGAGAGATCGTGGCTTCTTGTAAGAATGCTTAATTAACTCTTTTACTGAATAAATCAATACCTGGCGAAGATCATTATTTTTTAAAAAAAAAATACTTGACAAGAATGCTATTAAGAAGAGAGGTTGCATTAAATGGCCTTTTAAACTCCAACCCAGTCTCTCATTGTGCGGGTACTTTTAATGTCTGCTTCGTGATATGTATATTTCATACTTTTCTTCATGGGCTATTAGGTATGGAAAGACGTGAACGCTGGCTGAGAAATATGAATTGTTAGAGTCTATTTAGCAGAAACTCCAGACAATGCAGAAGCGGGCTTGTGGGGCATGGAGAGCCGCGCGTTTGGATTATTGAGGCAGCAGCCTGTAGCTCAGATGATGTTGTTTTATTCCCAGACTCCGCGTCATCTTCCAAAGGATGTAAGATTTCTGTACGCCAATGCGGAACCTTTGAAGACCACCCAGAAACACTGTCCAAAATGTGTGGATATGATTATGTTCGTGCGGGTTTTATAGGCACACACACACAAACCGCAGGTAGACTTCACTGGCTGCAATCCTGTGTGCATTTACTTGGGAGTAACACCCATTTAACTTAGTATAATTTACAGACATGTAAACACGCAATAGAAAAGATCATACTTTTATCATGCTTGCAGGCAGAAGCTGTCTGCAAGCTGAAGTTTTCATAAATACTTACGTTTTAAACTATTTTTTCCAATGCTATCAATCACCCTCCCATACTTTCTGTAAATAGAAAATAGGAGCCCGTACTTGCGAGATAGGGGATGTAATCAGAAGCTGACTTTGAAGTAAAAACCACTGATGTCAATACGATTAACTTCTGAGTATACATGGTTCTGTTAAATCTTAAAATTGAGCTTTTTAAGAAGGAGCTACATTCGGAATAAAGGGGTTTGTAGCGCAAGATCACGTGGAATTTCGACAGTAGTAGAGTGGCCAATCTGTTGCATGCTTTACAAGAGGAATAATTGTGTTTACAAACGTAAAACATAAACTACAATTCTCTCTTGTTGTTGTTTAAAAAAGAAATTTGCTTTGCTCGAGAGCATATATACACCCCAATCCTAAATAATGCAGACTCTTGGTTTCCGCCTGACATTCCACTGAAACGATCAGAAAACGAAATTCCATTTTGAATTATTGATTTTTCACGGAAATCTGACTGAAATTCCCATTTATTTCCCTGTGAAATTCAGTTGATTCTACTTCAAAGTAACTGTTTAGGATAGGAGTCTACGGGCGGGAGAGGGAAGAGGCAAAGGAGAGGGCAAGCTGGCCTACAATGTGAGCTCTCCAAGGGAGGCGGGATGGGGAAGCAGGGATGGAATAGTTCTAAATAATAAACTTGACGCATGGTTTTCTTTGAAGTTAGTATGACAATCCCCCGAAAATCTATATGGGAAGATCTATATTTCTGGCAGAGGAGTGGTAGCTGGCGTCTTTTTGTCGAAAAAGGGAATACAGTTGTATTTAAAGGAACTGAGCGCAAGAAATGGACGGGCCCTTTCCCGCTTTTTCTACTTCATATACCTCCGTATACCTACACTATCCACCTATAACCGCATTAGTGCCCTGTTCGGTGTATTTATTTACTTGGCTGTGTTTATGTAGCCTTTATGCGCACATTAATAGACCTAACCTGCTCGAATGATGTAAGAATAAAAAGATATTGAGCCATTCACCAGTTACAAAGAGTTAAAGAGAGTCAGATAACATTTTCGAGAAGAAAGCAAAGTAAGGCTATGAAGCTTTTGATGGCGAGTTGCGGACAAAGGGAGTGTGCAGAAATTAGATTTTTTTTAAAATTTAAAGTAGGCAGAGGACAATTTATTTATCACTCAGAAATCGTGACAAACCCACTCTTTTTACACCTGCTGAGATTCCTTTACATGGGTTTTCGATAGGGCCTCCTAGTTATGGTTTCCCCTGTTTATATAAAACTTTTGTTTGGGAGCTAAAAACGTACCAGATACATACATAACTGTTATCTAATGTGCATCTAATGGACAACTATATAGTTTAGCTGTAAATTTCATGCATACTGGTTCAAATCACACATCCCTGCTTGTTTTGCATTTGGTAACTTCGCATTTTAATTAATTTTTATTTGGCTTTCCTCCCACATTGCCCCTTTGATGCTTTTTTGTGTGGTCTTACCGTAGTACACTCTCCCCTCCCCCTCTTTACGCTGTCTATCCATCCCCCCCACACACTCCTCACTCTTAGACGTTTGCTACTTATTCCACTTGTTAACTTAAGTGTGTGTACATGTATGATTATAAAGAGACCAATATAATAAAATAAAGAAATGCTTACTTCTCTATTCATTTTAGAAAATAAATAGGATGTGTGTGCGCGCGCACCACACACACATTATGCTTCTTGTGTACAATTGTAATATGCCCATTTCTTAATTTTATTATGTATATCTAAATCTATCTTTTTAATCTGTCTCCTACACAGTACATAACACAATACATAAGCACTAGATGGTCAGGATATAAATCTTTGTGTAAAATAATAAACAAATAATAAACAATTCCAAAATAATAAGTCAATTCAATCTTTAAACCCACCCTTCCCCTTCTAGGTTCTGTAAGTCAGGCCTGCTTCATCCTCCATTAACAAGAAACAGGATCATGTGAAACCAGAGGGCTATTTTTACCGTGCAGCTGGAAGCTGTCATCAATTGGTAACATTTATTTCAGCCTTAGAATGATAGTACAAAATAGCATGAAGTTTCCAGATGACACCCCTATTGGAGGCAGTGTTTTTGAAGAATAATAAATCAAATTAACTACCCAATCATGCTGGCTTCTCCAAGATAATGTGTGTGTGTGTGTGTGTGTGTGTGTGTGTGTACACACGTTATCCTGGGAGAGTCTCTATTTATATATGTGTAGCGTGTGATAATCTTGCTTGCTAGGACACGATCCGGCAAAATAAAGCACTTTGAAGTCACATTTATTTCAGTGGGAGTATGAAGCATGGACTTATGCCACTTCCCTTGCAAGCAATGTGCTTAATATTGTTATGCATAACAATTATTTAAATATGGATTATACAAGACAGACGTATTCAATACCTGTGCTTGTTTTTGTTTGCGAATGTCCTTCTACGACCCATTTTTTTTTGGACAATACTTTTAATGATATTTATTATGTGTCACCCAATTCGGTTGTTTCTCATGTACGTGCGTTTTAAACCGAGACAATTTAAAAAGGCAAAGGGCAACGACAGAGAAATAGGGAGGGAAAAATAAATAAACAAATAAATAAATTGCATTAAACACACACATACACACATCCCCCGCCACACAAAAAACCAAACAAACCACTGTAAGGCCACGTGGTTTCTTTTCGATACTGCCTCTTTCACGACAAGTGAATCTGGGGATTTGGAGATAGGTAACGTATTCTGCTTTGCTTTTTGTTAAGGAGAGTTCCTGGAAAACAAGAAAAGACCACGTTTTTAGAAGCTTCGCTGTGCTTTCTGGCTACATCGGGGCTGCCAGCGGTCTCTAAAAGAGTTTTCCAATGCCACACATGAAACAGGCTGCTCTCTTTAAGAACACACAACGCTTGGCGTTAGATGTAGACTCGACGCGCATGCGCCTTCCTCAAGCTCGGGCACAGCTTCCACGTGCTGTTGCATATTTATAACTCTCAGCACTTCCTAAACTGTCTAGAGAAGGTAACCACACAGAGCCTAAATCATCGGGAAACCGTTGGCGAGGCTCCCAAAATAGTTTGGTAGGGGAATATGCACGTGTTTGTTTTCAGACATCTATGGTTTAAGCAATATCGTAATACAACAAGGCACAGAAGGTTCATAAAGCTTGACAGATAAACAACAAACATTGTAACACCCCCCCCCCGGAAAAAACCCCGAGAGGCTCTATAAGGCGTCGGCAGCAATAGCAGCAGCAGCAACATGACCATTCTCAAGGAGCTTTCTGTGATCGCAGCTACTCCATGAACAATCATTCCACATCGGTTGAACCAGGAAGCCCTAGAGTTGCCACGCAGTACTGTTTGTGAAAGAAAACTTTATTTTTCACTCTCCTCACGACCCCATAATATCCACATCACATAATGTTATCAAATGCATTTTATTCCACGGTTAGGTGGGCCCAACCACGCCTCTCGAATAGATCTTTCCTTAGGCCCCAGCGGTGGCTTTTTCGCTACAGAGTGAGACCCTAACGCTTAGCTCTGGCTTGTCTGTCAAATATCCTCCAGTCTGTCCCTCCTCCCTTTCTCCCAAGCCTCTACACGTCGGACGAGCACAACCTATCACGTTTAATGACTCCTTTAGCTGGACCCCTCAGCACTAATAATTTTCAGATGAGATGTCTGCCTAGGCCAAACGCTTTCTCTGGTGCTGGGTGCTGACCAGGAAACCCGCACATTCTCTCCGCCATTCCATCTACAAAGGGGCGTAATTTACTTCTAGATCTGCTCCTACTCTTTCGGAATTAAAAGATAAACAGCGTGAAATATGACTGGAACCTCGGACCTGGAAGTGCAGTGATTTCAGTTGGCCTAACTTTCTAGGTAAATGTGTCATTTACAACTATTTAACGTGTGTGTGTGTGTTTAAAATGAGAGTAGAGCCACCCTAATAGGCCAAAAGGGAGAAAAAGCTGCATAAATAAAAGATGACTTTCTTTTTAAAAGAAGCTATTGTTTTCTAGCCCATTGTCATAATGAGGAAATCACGCACCAGGTACGCAGCAGTGACTGCTCGAGCTATGTTTAGCCAGCCTTACAACTCGGTCAAAGCTCTTGGATTTCACCCTTCAGCGTGCCATTAAAGTCTGTAAGAGGGCACTGACTTAATGCTTAGCGGTACTTAAGCCTCTCTGAGTTATAGGTGGGACTAAAGGCGTGTAAAATAGATGGCACCTCATACAAGACAGTGGAACCTCACTCGGAGTCAGCTTTGCCTCTCTCCCTCCCCCCCAATATAGACACACACACACACACACACACACACGAAATCACTAATTGTCGATGACAATTTCCTCTCATCCAGTTCACCTCAAGGTGACATCAGGTTCAGACTAGAGACTCATTTTCAAAGTTAGTGGCTGGGCTATTATGGGTGGAGTGAAAAGGCTACATGAATAGCCTTTGACCACATCTCATTTGTGGACACTCTCTCTTCCTCCTCCCATATTTCTTGCCCCCCTCCTCCCGTAATAAAGGACCTGCCATTATGAAGATTATTTCGCCCTAAAAACAGCAACAAAATAAACAAATCTCTTTGGCGTTCCATTTCAGACCCCTGACATCTAAGCACTGTATGTGACAAGTAATAACTCTGAGCCTGCAAATAGGAATAAAGGCTTAAATCTACTGTCTCGACTCCGATATCATTTACAACCATTTGTTTACACCAGGTTGGAATTTAAAACTAGAGACCTTTTTAAAAAAAATGTAGACTTCAACGACCGCAAATGTCTGTCGCAGTCCTACAACCCTGCGCCCACAGAGCATATTTTAGGCAGGATCACGTAAGAGATTTTGGTGACTTTTAAAAAGAGGATTGAAGCATAGAGAACCACACGCGCACACACCTTGATCACGTGTCCAGTCAATGTCTGTGTAAACAGATGGATTCGTTTTGTTCAAAACGTGGGTGGAGAAACCTCCGCCCCCACAACTGTTGATCATCTTCCTTATTTAAGATCACTGCATTCTAAAAACACGGTTGCAAGGTTGCTTTGTTTACGCACATTAAATTAGCCTATTAATCTATACTTCATAGATCCAGTTAAACCCCGGTTTCTTCTTCCAAAATAAAGATGTTTAGATACTTTTTTTCTTGGGGGGGGGAAATATTAAAATGCTAGGGTAACAGAGAATAAAATGCAGAAACACAGAACAAGATCCATAGTTTGATGTTTAGACCCTTCCCTTTCAAACTATCTAGCCTATTTTAGTATCTCTTTCATTCTTTTGGCCAATAATTAACAAGTACCCCCCAAAAAAACCCCTACACTAGCCTGGAGCTTTGTTTGAAAGCTGTTTTGTTTACAAAATAATATTTATTGTCAGGAGATTTCCCCCTCCCGCCACATCTCTTACCTCCGGAGCTTTTACACTTTTCGCTTAGCTGGAGGGAATGTGGAACTGAGATTTGGCCCTGGATATAATCTCCCCGTCTCTTTCCCTCTCCCTCTCTCTCCCTCTCCCTCTTTCTGTATAGATCTGGCACGGCTTTGCTCTCTTAACTCCCAGATCTTTGTTTCGGTGGTGGCGGCCAGAAAGAGCAAGAGAGCGCTGTGCTCTCAACTTCCCTCTGGCTTCCTTTAAAAACAACAACACACAAGTCCTCTTCCAACTTTTCCTCCAGTTATTCACTTCTCAACCCTACTGACAGCATTTGCCGAAAATCTACACTCCAGCTTTGGTAAGTGATGCGTTGCTCCATTGCAAAATGGCACTGCTCGGATAGCCTCTGCGCGCGCGTGTGTGTGTGACGTGTGGAAGAGAGAGAGAGAGAGAGAGAGAGAGAGAGAGAGAGAGTATGTTTTGTTTTGTTTGCGAGCAGCGTTGCCCAAGTACTTTCACATCAAACAGGACAGAGTTAAACTATTGTGGCGTTTGAAATCGCAACAGGAACAAGCATGATCACTATCTGTTGGCTCGGACAGACTTTATGGCACGAAAACTGAATCTGCCCAGCAACTTTTTGTTGCTGGTATTGTGTTTGCTGGAGCTACTTTGAGGAGATCGAGGCCATGATATTTACATTTTTTTATACCAGGGCGTAACAACAAAGCTGTCACGGGGCTCTGAGATAATTCATTTAGGGTTTAAGGGCAATTTAATATTATTATTAATGTTATTAATATTAATCACACTAGCACACTAGCACACTAGCACTAGTATTGTTGGAAATAATGCACCTAAAATATCCTTTTGCAATTTAAATGATATCTGCATAGAGCGTTTTCCAGCCTTCTCCAAATACACGTTTTCACATGAACTTAAACTATTCTTATGAATGGCTTCTTAATGCGCCCATTCTATTAAATTATAACTCGGAGTGACTGGAACTCACAGGTATTTAGAAAAGGTTTAATTTGAATTCCTCCTTAGTCCCCCACCTTCCTTTTCCTTTTTTTTTTTAAGGAAAGGAAAGTGAACATAACTGCTGTGTAGAGTTGACCTTTCGTTGACACGACTTGGTAGGAGACAGTTTGCAAATGAGGACTGGATAAATTAGATACTAAAGTTAGCGGGGTTTAGATGGTACCCGGCGATAAATCCACTGGAATTAGCCAGAGAAGTAGTTAGCCCTCGAGGTCTGAAAGTTTAGCAAAGTTCAAGGGAGTCTGAACGGCATCTCGAGAGAGCCCTGGAAATTACAATGGAAGAGAAGATGATTCCCTCGGGTGAAAAAGCACAGGCAGCAGCACTAGCGGCGGCGGCAGCAGCAACAACAGCAACAGCACCTTCAAGTTCATTGCACTTTCCGCTTCTCGAAAGCTTTGGCTTTGGTTGTTCTCACTTTTCTGTAGTAGTTATAACAATAGCGTGGGCGCAGTGATTTCAGTTCTTAGAAAACCCAGCGCCGAGCAAGCGTGTGAAACAGTATGCTAACAGTTGTGCTAACAAGTGGTGTTACTTTCTTAACGCTGGAAGTGTGAACGTATTGCATTCCTCAAAAACAGCGTCCTTAAAAAAAAAGTGGGTCTAAATAAAGAACTTCGCGGTTTATAAAACTGCACACCGAGTTTACTCGTGGATTCAAATGGATCTCTACCACAGGGAGGGGGAGAGACTTTGGCTTCCGGAACAAAGCAAAAGCTGCACAAACAAACAAACATCACAATAAAAGCCATTACTCTTCTTGCCCGCTCTCCCCTCCATTCTTCTTACGGTGTTTACACAGTTTAAAGGAGCTGGAGATCATCTCGCCCTTGAATGCTTGTTCGTGTTATTAAACTTTATATATTATAAGACCCTCATATCTTTGGGTAGGTCTTAGTATGTGCTTTGTTTTTTTTATAGCATTGGTGTTATATTAAAATCAAGCTGTTTGATTTGATACGGTAATACGAGACTTCCCACTGTCTGAAGGGCGAAGACGAGGTTCAATGCTAGAAAATGTCAATATAACTGCAGAGGACCGCCCCCCCCACTTCCCTTCGCACACCTGCCCCCGGCTCTGTTAACTTGTCAAAGGTTACTTAGTGAAGTCGTGCCACGTACTGACAGCTTTTGCATTGGACTAATGTCTGTAAGGCTACAATCCTATCGATACATACTTACCTGAGAGGAAGCCCCATTGAATACATTGGGACTTAATTCTGAGTATCACACAGCAATGCACTGTAAGTTGCTTTCGGTAGGAATGTTCCCCTCCCCCTCCGATCAACATTTGGTGTGTGTGTGTAGACATTTAACGGTTTTCTTGCCCACCTAGCACCCTAGAATGGCAGATTCCACGAAGTCCACGTTTTCAACCATTTTAACTAGCTAAAATCTTCCTGCGCCAGGCACACGTCAACGAAACTTACTTTTATGCAATTTTGAACAAAATCTCGTGCCAAACTTACTGTTTCTTGGAAACAGAAATAAATGATGTTGACTAGGTAAGAAGCAGCGGGCGATTTTGCATTCTCTAAGATGGCAAATTGTCTATTGTTAGACAAATTCTGGGGTGACTGGTGTAGAAGTCAACAGCCCCCTCCACCAAATTAATTATCAGCGAGATTCTGCTTCGGTTAAGTCCTTATCCTGGTCGGAAAGAGATTTCAGCTGTACATAGATAGATCTCAATATCCCCCCCCAAAAAAAGGTCTTGGACCCCATTCTTCCACACGATTTTGGGGGAGGCATTGCCAAGCGTGCTGGGGAGCAAACCCCTTTCATAATAAATGCAATGATCAAGGAATGACTTTAGGCTAGAGGGATGGTGGATGTCTGACAGAGAAGTGGAATCGCACTCAGTTCACATTCTTTGTAATCAGGTTTTGGTAAAGTACCTGGCTTTCCCTATGATATATACAGTGCGCTATATATGTCCATAAAACAGCAGATACGCATCTGTTATTGCCCCCAGTCTTAGACTATGCTGACAAGGTCATGGCAGTCTATGTGGAAGAAAGGCATTTCGATGCTAAGTACATTAACGTACTGCATTAGAGTGAAATCAAGGGGACTCGCGACCAAGGAAGTGTACTTAAGAGAGGAGTATAAGACGTAGGAGCCTTAGTTGCAGCAGGTTTCCTTTAGTGGATGAAGCGCCCTCCCCGTCAAATATAAAGTAGGTCTGGCCCTGGAGGCTCTATCTTGAACACTCGTTTTGGCATATCGTCTAGCCTATAGGTAAATGCGGAGTAAAAGGACAGAGGTATTTGAAACATATTTTAAGTTTGGCGAAACAGTAAGCCTCAAATCACAAACTGCAGCCTTTCCTGATTTAGTTCGGACCGCCCAACCTTAGTTAGCGCAGCTACCTGGGTGTAAATCGATCTGAAGTGCATAGGAATGACTACTCGATCCTAAACAGTATCTAAAGAAACGCGATTGACCTCATTGGGGCATAAGTGCTTTTCGGACAGCAGCTGCGATCCCATAGCCAGATCACATCACCTGAAAGTATTCCAATCCAAACTGAAGCCCACGAGACTGGAGTTCTCATTGAAGTCAGCTGAGAATGAGGCTCACGCAAAAGGACTTCCGGTGGATAGTGCCCAGCGTGTTTAGGATTCGGGTGTAAACTGGTTCAAATCCAAGTATTGCAATGTATTTGCATTGGGAACAAGCTCAGATATCTGATTACATTGTTGATATTACAGAAATCTACCAATTCATGTTCAGGAGGGAGAGGTGCCAATATCGCTGTGTGCGCGTTCAGACCTCCACACACCCTACTACTTTCTTTCAGGTCGGATTTGAACTCTCTGAAATCAATTCAAATATATATTTAACATAAACGGAGTTTCTATAAACACAGTTTGGTCGGAATACAGTTTGGCTTGCTGGGGGAAACATCACCTTAGGATTGTGTGCGTGTATATAGAGCACTTGTGTAGATATACCACATGTGTATAAATTCGCCACCAACAGCCACAACCCGGGGAGAAGATGGAAACAAACTGGGGAAAAAATCAGAATAGAAAAATAATGGCAGGTTTAAAAATTGTCTTAGCAGAACAACTCATCTAAAAGCGGAGTGGGTGGGTGTCGTCTGACAATATCCTGAAAACAGGCATATGTTGAAAATAAATTAGAATTGCTATCAGTTCTATTTCAATCCAGTTTTTATTGCAAGGCACCACATAAAAGCAGTTTGTAAACACTGTCTATACTATCTTCATCCTGCAGTCTGTCATTTTTAGACGGTTCTTTGTATCTGCAGAACATTTAGTTAATTAATCATGCTTGCGTTTTTCTTTTCTTGTCTGGAATCCACAGTTTAAGGAATGCGAAATGGTTCAGCGTAGCGCACGCTTTTAGACGACTGTTTACTGTCTACTGCTGTTATCTCTACTTTAGCATGCCGGCTGTAAGAGAGAACTACGACATACCTATATGTCTGGGCTAATGTAAAAAGGATAATTTTAGGAAAGGGAAAATGAAAGATGGCCCATTCGTGGAAAAAGGGCAACTCTTCTCCCCATAGCTAATGCCAGATTTTCTACTGACTACTCCAAGAATACAGTATCACCTAACATCACCCAACAATCAAGCACCATGGATTTCAGCATGATTTTCTTTCATATAACAAGGAAACCAAGATCGGTGTGCAAAGTTTTTATTTTATTTTATTTGGTAGACTCTTTAGCATCTTTCTCTTTCTTAGCCACCCCTGGGTTTTTTTTTCGTTACTAAAGCTAGCTTGTTGGGGGGAGCCACTATGACGAGCACCTCTTTAGCCTAGTGTTTGTGAATGAATTCCATTGTGTCTATCTTAAAACGAAAATAAGTTGCTGTATGACGTAACTGTTTTGATGTAAAGTTTATGTAATCAGGAGGTGCAGAAGAGTCAACAGAACGTGTTCTAAATTTGCACCTTTCTCATATAATTAGTTGTCTCCCTCTAACGGGACTTTAACCTCCCCCCCCCCAATATCTTTAATTGTTGAACGTTCCTGGTTGCAAGTCATTGCAGCCATAAAGCTTAGATGTATGATGGTGTCTTTTCAGAGACTTGAAAGGGGTTTCCCAATCCATGCACTCCATATTAAGTGACTTGTGGATGGGGCTCACCATTAGCAGCAAGAGACAGAAAATATTTTCAAGGTATTAACTCGCTAATAGCCATGAGGTGTGATCGCTAGGCTGCATTCATCCATCTTCCCTCTGAATCATTTGAGAGGTTCCTGTTGTTTTATTGGGAACAGGATCAGACCTTAAATTGAAAGTGGGAAGGCAGTAAAAACGATTGCACAGGTA